GTGTCAGAGTCGACTGTGTGCCACGGGATTTCCAGTGGCTGCTTCTCAGAAGCAGATGGCCAGGTCTTTCTTCCAAGGCACCTGTGGATGGACTCCAACCCTTCGGTTAGTGGCCAAGCATGTTAACCGTTTGTACCACCCAGGGACTCATTAACTCCCTGTGACTGGCACATATTGTCAAGTTTCTGGCCTTTCATCTTCTGTGGCTTGGTCTAACCTGGCCCAGGTTGCAAACAGAGGCTGGGCAGCTCAGAAGGGGTGGATGGTTGGGGTGCACTCGGCCATTCCCTGGCAGCAAGCCCAGTTGCAGCAGACTAGAGCCCACTTGAGCTCACACCTCAGAAACAACCACCAGGTGCCTGCTGGGAGCTGGGGTGCCATGGTGATAGAACAGACAGATCAAAAACACCACAGGCATGATAGTGCATAGCAGGCAGGAGGCTGGGCTGGGGGCACCGTATGAAGCCATGTGATCAGCTGGCTCCTCTGAAGAGACAAACCCAGGAAGAGGCTGGAAGGATGAGAAGCTGGGCCCGAGGCCGGAGGGGCCGAGGGGCCAGAGAGCAGTAGACATGTGGTATGAGGTGTGCTGTCCCTAAGTGCTGGCACCAAAGGAAGATGTGCTGTGCTCGTGATGGGGAAGACATCTCTGGGGGCTTCAGGCAGAGAGTGGCAGGGTATGGTTGATGCCCTGAGGCCATCATGTTTACTGGGATATAGGGAAAGAGGGGGAGGCCTTCAATGAGATGGATTGACACGGTGGCTGCGACAATGGGCTCAAGTATAGCAAGGATCATGGAGCTGGCACAGGATCAGGCGGTGTTTCATTCTCCTGTGCATGGGGTCACTGAGTCAGAAACAACTCGATGGCACCCAACAACAACAACAACAAGGAATGGGCTGGGGACCTGGAGCAGGTGCTGGAGGCCAGGGGTCCTGTCACAGTCCCCAGGCAAGGGGTGGAGATGCAAATGAAGAGGGGGATTCTGAGGTCAGCGGTGGGGAGCAGCAGTGGAGGAGGCAGCAGTGATACTCATGTTTCTGGCTAAGTAACCAAGTAGGGTACCACTTACTGAGAGGGAGAGACTGAGCTGGCGGAGGGGTGAGGAGGTGGGGCCCAGAGCTCCTGGTGGCAGGCAGTGTACACAGCATCAGAGAGATGGCACGGGGACACATTGTGCAAGGGGGAGAGTGAGCAGGTGTCCGGCCTCAGCAGAGACAGACAGATTGGGGTCATCTGGGCGGTGTAGTGTTTACATCTGTGGGAGGTGAAACGCACACCCAAGAGGGGTGGACAGAGGAGAGGCTGGCCTGCTCTGGGAACCAGCAGCATCCAAGGGCAGCAAGGGGACCAGGGAGCAGGAGGGAAGGCAGGCAGATGCCCAGGGCCAGGGGGAACATGATTAGCAATGGCTGCCAATATCAAAGCGAGGGAGAGGGGACCTGGGCAAGGGTCACTCTGACTTTAGGGGTATGGGATGCCGGGTTGGTTGGGCCTTGGGAGACCACAGTCTTCTCCATAGGGAACCCTCCCTTGTCGCTGGGCTTTGGCAGGGGTGGCCGGGGTGTGTCCTAGGGTGGGTGAGGCTGAGGGCCAGAAGGTCCACACTGAGTGGGGGAGCAAAGGCAGCAGGGCCTCTCCTGGAGGGTGTTCGGGCCTCGGCACTCCTGGTTTTGCTGCCCACCCTGCACTGCCCCCTCGCCTCGAGTGGGCTGCTCAGCTCCCCTCTGTAGAGGGAAGTGGGCTGGCAGCGTAGCCTGTCTGTACGATCAAGTGGACCGTTGGATATGTGAGGATGTGGTGTCCAGCTGGGACTGAGGAGGCAGAGGTGGCTGCTTGAGGGGAGTGGGCTATGGGTGGCCTGAGGTGGGTCTGAGGGCTGATAGACGGGGTGAGGCTGGACGATACTCTGGGGGTATTGAGAGGGCCATTAAGCAGAGGGACCCAGCCCAGCTTCCATTTAAATCTCTGTTGCTGCATGTGGAGCCCAGATAGAAGGGGCAAGAGTAGGCCTGGAGCCCAGCTGAGGGCAGGCTATCATTGCAATGTGCTGCTAAGATGTAGGGGCAGATGGACAGTGTTGGATGGATCACATGAGTGGTACTGACATCAACCAGCTGCTGCTGCTGCTATAGAAATCATGGGTGCAAAGGACACAGGGTGGGGGTGACTCGAGGCTGACGCCAGCTTCTGGCTTGAGCCCCTGGAGCGGGGTGCCTATCATTGGGAAGGGGGAGGAGGCAGATTTGGTGGTGAAATCTGAGGCACATGCGAGACAAGTGAAGATCAGATGTGCAAGTCTGGCGTGGTCAGGAGGCAGCCACATTTGTGTAGGGTGGCAGGCATTGTGGATGTAGGGTGGGTGGTCAGGTGCGTCTGGTGTCCAGGTGGTCCCAGCCCCGCATGTTGCACTATCATCTGCTTCTCCCACCCACCTTCTGCAGCAGAATGCTCCCTTCCTTGTAGGGTCTAGTCTATGTGGGACAGTGGGTGCCCCTCCCCAAGTCCAAACACCAAGCAGACCACTCTAAGACCCCTCCAGTGGGGAGGACTAGGGAAGAACAGAGCAGCGCCGAGGGAGGAAGAACTGATGGTGAGAAAGCAAAAGACCAAGTGTGGACTCCCGAATCTAGAAGATTCTCTCCTACAACTCGGGAAATAGTGTCCTTTTTTTAGTTGAACCAGTTTGGGTTGGTTTTCTCTCACTTGCAACAAAAGGCTCTTGGCCAATCCAGAGAGCCTGTTTCTCTTTCACCCCCACCAAGTGAATGGATGAGTGATGAATGGCACAGAGGGAAACTTATGCCTACTTGTCCAGATAACCTCAAATGTCCAGATGACCACAAATGCCAAGCCCATGTCATTTGGAGGACTGAGGCTTTACTGTGTGATCATCCCTGGTGTTATGGATTGAATTGTGTCCTCCAAAAATATGTGTTAAATTCCTGGTCCTTGTACCTGTGGATGTAATCCTGTTTAGAAATAGAGGTTTCCTTTTGTTATGTTAATGAGGCCATACCAATGAAGGGTAGGCCCTAAACCTACTTCTGTCTGAATTATAAAAAGAGCAGAATAGCACATGCACGGGGAAGACAGATGTCATGTGAGGATCATTTACCAGCCAAGGAACCAAGGAAGGAATCAACATGCTCAAGACCTGTTTAGCTACCAGAACTGTGGTATTTGTGTTATAGCAGCACTAGTCCTCTTCCCTCTTGTTTGACATGGTTGGTTTCAGTGATGTTTTTACTACCCAGATAGAGCATGGTAGTTACAACTGTGGCTCGCACATAACTTCTCTGAGCCTCGAGTTTCTTGCCAGTCAAGTGGTGATAATGACAGTTCCTATACTCCAGGGTGGCTGTGAGATTTCTGCAAGGCCCTGCCTGCAAGTGCTTGGCACCAGCTCAGTGCCAGGCAGACATCAGTGTCTATGAGGATCATGAGAAGGAACCTCAAACAGCTGAAGCAGGACTGTGCTCTGCACTGGCCCTTCCACATAGCCTAAGACAGGAGGACACAGTGCAGGCCGGGCTTGGGCGCACACGTTTGCACATCAGAAATGCTTGCTGGGCTTTTAAATGCATTTCTCAGTCTCCCCTACCAACACCACCTCCCAAAATGACAGGTGTGGGTCAAGGTCTGAAGTGACCACTGTTGGATGAGTCAAGCATCCTTGGCACACCCTGGTCTTGGGCTGACTCTGAGCTGTCACCTTGGTAGAGGGTGCCAGTCTCTGGGTTATTAGGATACTGAGCTGGTGTCTTTATTGTCCAGGAGGTGTCAATAAAAGAGATAGTCAAAGTTAGCTCCTGCTGAGCCCACGTGGAAACTGCCAGTGCATTAAGAAATGGAAATTATACTGTCAGCAATGTGGTTCCCTATCATTGCCCAGGACACAAATAGTGCGAGGACGGCAAAAGCTAATGGAGAAGGGACATTAGCTCAAGAATGTCCTTGCGGAGGGACAGACTTTACCTTGTATAACGCGCCATAATGATGAAATTAAGACACCTCTGAGAGAGATCATTCTCCCGCCAGTAATTTGGAAATACGTCTGTGGACCATTCTCCCCAGTGTCTCTGTCACCCCCTGAAGAAGTTGGGATCCAAGGAGGGAAGTTCAGGCCTCAGGGCCCCATCCTGTGCACAGCTGAGAGATATCACCTCTATAGTCTTGACGCATCCTACTGAGGAGACCAGCCTGACAGCCCAGCAAGAGGGTCCCTCCCACAGAGCATGAGCAGATATCTTCCAGGAATGTCCCCCACTCCTTCCTAGCCTACCTGACCCACCCTCCTTCCCTACCCTCCCAAGCCAGGCCTGCCTTCTTCCCTTCCCCCTCAGCACCACCTGGACCCCACCCTGGCCCATCCCTCTATCCACCCTTGAGCTAAGTCCTTTCTGTTCTCCTGTTAGCAATCTCTTCTATGACCCAGAGGCCCCCACTCCAGCCTAGGTCTCACCCCTTCAGAACTCCCCTGACCATCCACTCCATCCACCTGCCCTACCTCCTCCTGCCCTCCCCAAGCTAGGCTGACTCCCACTGGTGCATCTGAGCTGACTTGCCAAGGCCCTGCACCCCTTCCTCAAGCCTCATTACCCCTGCCTCCCCAGAAGCAGGGCCTGGGGCTCACCTTCAAGGATGCCCTTGCATCCTGAGTCAAGGGGCCTGACACTGGCTGAGTGTAGGGCAGGGCTGTTGCGTCATAGAAGGATGTGGTGGTGCCAGAGGAATGGGGTCTCTGCCCTTGGGGCAGAGAGGGGTTGAGAGGACCCAAGGCTTTGATAGAAAAGTGGGTCCTGGGTATGTTTTGGGGGATCCTAAGGTGACCCTATACCAACTTGGCAATGTCATCATCAACTTCCTGGGCCCTGGCTACCCACCAGGCACCAATCCTGATCTCACAGAAGCACTCGTGGTTGGAAGCCTAGTAGACAATTTGTCAGTCTTTTCAAAGCCCACCTCCCTTACTTTTATGGACATCCCTTTTCTTCAGGTGGGGGTCGTGAGCCTCTGGATTCCCGGTTCTGCCAAAGTGTAGAACAAGGCTGTGCCATATTCTCTGACATCCTGCTTGGACCCCCTCCACCCTGGTACCACGCAGTCCTGTTCCTGGATGGCAGCCAGGTAAGGTGTCCATCCCAAGGCCAGGGGTAGGAGGTAAGGACCTCTCCTTTGCTCAGCCCTGGGGGCTCATAGGGCAGGGAATCCTCACTGCTGGGCCCCTGAGGCACACATTCCCCTCTCTGGCCCCAAGACTGAGGCCACACCTCTGGGGTGCTGGGGATGGGGGGCTCCCTGGGGGAGAGCCCTTCCTGAGCCCTCCTCCTTGTAGATGGTGGGCCACAAATCCAGAGGAAGCCTCGGCGCAGGGAGTATGCTGGGCACAACGCAGGAGCCACGAGGAGACAGCAGGTAGGGGGGTGGTGGGGAGAGGGTGTCGACCCACTCTTGGGCATTTAGGGACGGACCTTTGGCCTCTCGCTGGTCCTGTCTTCTCCTCAGGCCAGCAGTGCCACCAGGAAGACCGAGGGCTAGCATGGCCCACCACACTGGTGCCCTCCCAGGTGCATGAATCCACAGCACGTGGGGTTCCGTGAGACACACCTGTGCAGTTCCTCCTGGGAGGTTGATGCCATATCTCCATCACATGGTCCTCCACCCCAGCTGCTGGGCACCTGACGAAAGGGGAGATTTGGTTTCCCTGAGAGGCCTGTGGGACCAGTTTGTGATGGTACATGTGTCGAGCGTCCAGCTGCCTCCCTTCTGCACCTCCACTTGGTCCCACCTTGGTGTCTTGGCCAAGATGGGCACAGTGGAACAGGCTGCTTCCTGCCTCAGGGCTTCCATGGGGGCAGGGTGGGGGGCCATGGTGAAAACAATCGAAGCAGGAGAAATGGCCTTGAGGATTGTGAGGATGGGAGCTGGCCCCAGGCTCTTGGGAAGATGCAGCAGTGGAGCGGGACAAAGATCACAGGCTCTCCTTCCTCCTGGGCCCACAGCAGAGATGACCAGGGGTGTCGGCTGTGGGGGAGTGAGTGCCCTTGAGTCAGGACCTCCTTGGGCCGTGCAGAGGTGGGAGAGACCTCTGGAACTCCAAGGGGCCACTTGTAGCAAACTGCATCTCCCCTGTACAGCCCCTTGGAGGCCAGGGTCCCCCAAACAGACCCTGAGACATGCTCTCACCAAGTCTTTTATTGCCAGCCCCAAGAAGCCCCTAGTGGGGGCAGGAACTGAGAGGGGATGCTCCTGAGCAGGTGACACTGGGTGAGGGGGACAGGCACATATGACCCTGCCCTCCACCTGCCCAGCCTCAGAAGGCCTATCCTGGCAGACTTTGCACCAGGCAGGGGTATACCCATAGCCAGATAGGCCCAGGTGCAGCCAGAGACAGCACAGCATGATGGGCCGAGCCCTCGGCCCTGACCAGTCTCAGTGAGATGCAGCTACTAGGTGAGCTACCCAGTGCAGCGGGTCAGCAGGTGCTCCCAACTGATGTGGGGTTCAAAAAGGGTCACCAGGCAGAGCAAGAGGCATATTTAATCCAGCCACCTCTCTTAGGAATCAAGACACAGGCCTGGGCATGGGCACAATGGCATCCCCTCCAAAGCATCCCTGTGACCCAACATCCCCTCCACTCCCATTCCCACCACCTGCCCCTGGGGGGAGGGGTTGAGTTCTGGGTGCCCAACCAGGCGGCTCCTGCAGGTGTGATGGACACAGTGGGGTGTCCAGGTTGTTGCCCACGTACTGTCCTGCTTGGGAAGTGTTGGCACAAAGTACGCAGCTTGCACGGAGGTTTGTGGGTCACCACCCATGTCACCTGATTGGGGACCCTGCTGCTTTTGTGCCTGCCACCATCTATTCATGTCATGGGGCAGGACTCCCTGTTTCTCTGTGGTCCCCCACATGTCACCAACCTCAAACCCCACAGCAGACTCAACCCATGGCCCTAGGGATTCAACTGTCCCTTCCCCAGGAGGATATACGTGGATTTTTCAGTCGCCTCTTATACATATGGAAGCTGGACAATGAATAAGGAAGACTGAAGAAGACTCAATGCTTCTAAGTTGTGGTGTTGGAGAAGAATGCTAAGAGTACCATGGTCTGCTAAAAGGACTAACAAATCTGTTCTGGAAGAAGTGCAGCTGGAATGCTCCTTGAGAATGGCCAGACTTCATCTCACCTACTTTGGTCATGTTGTCAGAAGGGGCCATTCCCTGGAGAGGGAGATCATGCTCGGTAAAGTGGAGGGTCAATGACAAAGGGGAAGGCCCTCAACGAGATGGATTGACACAGTGGCTGTAATGATGGGCTCAGGTATAGTAAGGATCGTGAGGCTGGCACAGGACCGGGCAGTATTTCGTTCTGCTGTGCACAGGGTTGCTATGACTCAGAGACAACTCAGTGGCACCTAACAACAACAAAGTGGGGACACCTTTTGGGGCTGTTTGGGAGTCCAGTTTGCCTGCCTGCCCACCAGCCTGCACAAGGCTGAGTTCTTTGGGTGCACCAGGCTGCAGCCATGGCCCACTGGACGTCTGTGGTGGTGCCAAGAATCCCCATTACAACATGGTACCTGAAAGGACGCCTGGGTCTCGTCGTGGGGTGACCAGTTTGGAAGCAGACAGCATCCTGTCCACATTCCTCCTGGACACATCAGGTGCCGTCACTAACCTCACTTTACAGATGAGGGGCTCAGAATTTAGCAACTAGGTTTGGATTTTTCTGGTAAATTAGAAAACCAAGCCAAAAAAAACCCACTGCTGTTGAGTCAGATCCAACTCATAGCAACCCCTCCTTGGGCTTCTGAGGCGGTATCTCTACGGAAGTAGATTGCCCAACCTTCCTTCCAAGGAGTGGTTGGTGGGTTTGAACCGCCAGCCTCCTGGTTAGCAGTCAAATGCCTTAGGCACTACACCACCAGAGGGTTGCATATCACTTGAGGAGCCATGGTGGCATAATGGTTAAAGCATTCGGCTGCTAACCAAAAAGATAGGTAGTTCAAACCCACCAACCACTCTATGAGGCAGTCTGCTTCCAAAAAGATTTACAACCTTGGAAACCCCATAGGGCAGTTCTGCTCTGTCTTATAGGGTCGCTATGTGTTAGAATCTACTCAATGACAGCGGGTTTGGTTTTTAGTTTTGTTTTTAGGGGGCATATCACTCTGCAAGGAAGCCCCTTCAGGGTGAAACTCCTTCCCAGCGTGAAAGCAACCAGCCATCCGCCCTCATGCAGGAGGAAGTTTGGGCTCTGAGGAAGCATGTCCAGACCCCGTTCTTGGCAGCCTCTGCTTAAGGAAGCAGTTTATCCCCCCGCTCTCAAGGGCCCTGGGAAACGTGGGTAGGACAGACCCCATGCTCTGGTGGGCAAGTCCCCAATCCCCAGATGTGCCCTGGAAGATGAGGTCTGGTCCCCATGGAGCTCTGCAGGCTCCCTTGCAAATGGGACCTGTGACCTTTGAGATACAGGAGGGACCCACAAGTAGAGCTGGCTGAAGAAACATGCTGGCCATGGGGCACAGAACCTACATGCTCCGGAGGGAGGGGGCCCTGGCAAAAATACCACTGCCTTGAGAGACGCAGACCTCCTAGATTCTGGAGACAAGTGGGCCCAGGCCTTGGGGCAACCAGACTGCCAGTGGATAGGTGGGTGGGACATCAAAGCCCCCAGAGTGACAGCAATGAGGCTGTAGGAATTCCAGGTGTTGTCCTACTACAAATACTCTGGGCCTTGGCCCCACTCCCAGCGGGACTGGAGAAAGCTCCCACTCTGTGCCGCTGGCTCAGTCGGCATTCAACTTGCCACCAAAGGAGCATAGGCTGTAGGCATAGAGCCACCAAGGAGGCTCCCACAGAAGAAGACATCTAGTGAAGACAGAAAAGGAGCTGCACCCTGGCTCAGGCTGTCCCAGCCTGTACCATCTGCAGTTAGGTGGCTCACAGGGACACCAGCAGCAGGTGTTGGTGAGCAAGAGTTCACGGCTGATAGTGTAGCTGACAGTGCTTCAGTGCTGATGTAAGGCCAAGCTGGGACTCGCCCTCAAGGAAGGGCTGCCCCATGGTCTCTGAGTCACAGCGTGTGAATCCCACACGAAGCCCACTTCACATGACCACTAAAAAAACATGCATTTAAAGAAAAACAGCCGAGACCTTGCTGAACATGAGTTCCCAAGGCCACCAGAGTTTCCATCTCAGGACGCGTAAGAGTCACATGTGAGACACACGGAGGCCCAGGTACATGGGCAGCATCCCAAGACAAGTGACTGTGGCACGCCCACACTGACAAACTGACAGTCTGTCTTAGCACAGAGGCCCCAGTGCCATTCCTCCTCCTGGTCCTGTAGCAGCCTTCGGCTCCCCCTGAGGGCTACCTGGGGCTGAAATGAAGTGTCTGTCCATCTGTCTGTGGGATGGTCGTCAGAGGCCAGGCCTGCAGAATGTTCTGTGTCTCTTGTGTTCAGGCTGGGGTTAGCTGTGCTTCCTCAGCAAGGCCCCTCCCCATACTCATCTCCACGTCCTTGGTACTAGGACCTGGACCCTAGCTGAGCCACCCCTCCCTGCTGCTAGAGGCTGAGGCCAGGCTCCCTGGTGCTCAGGGTAGACAAGCCCGCCCACCCTCCCCGGGAGCCTCGAGCCAGCTGAGTGTATGTGTTCCCAATATAGCCACTCCAGGAGGTATTTTTAGTCTCGTCTCCCGAGGCTCATCCTGCCTCCTCCGGGAGGGAACCAGCTGTGGAGCGGAGGCCAGGCCTGAGGTGGCCACTGATGAAGCAGACCAGCCAACATCCACGCTCCAGGCCTCGGGGAGCCGCGCTGCCCATCCACTGCCCCCAGCTTCCCTGATCCTTGATTCCGGCAGTGATGCCATTCCTTACCTCCCTCAGCCTTCCACCCATCCCACACAGCTAGACTCGCCCCCCACAGCCCCTATCCCCCCCACCTGCCTCATGCACCTCAGGCATCCCCCACCTACCCCACACCTCTCATGTTCCTCCTCTCAGCCCCCCACAAAACTCCCACCAGCTTTCCACCCCCTAGGGGTCCCCTAGGCAACCCCCACCCACCTCTGACCCCCAGGCATCCCCCATCCACCTACCCTACTCCCACCCTCTCCCCACCCCAAGGTGTCTCCCACCCATCACCCCAACTAATCCCCACTCACCCTGTTGTTACATGCCGTCGAGTCGGACCTGACTCATAGCAACCCCACCTGCAAGTGCCCCTAACCTGAGGGTGCTTCCATGACCCCCCTAGGGGAAGGTGTGGAAGACCCCAGCCCCATAACCCTTCTTGCAGCCTTCTACCTTCCCACCTTGCTCTGTGCTTTGGTACCAACTTCTAGTACCCATTCCAGCCTTGGCTCTCCCAGAGAAGCTCACCTTTGCAATTCTAAGAACCTGACCCCTCCCATCCACAAAGCCCGGCTCTGCAATCAAAAGCACAAAGCCACATGTCTGTTTTGCATTTAAGAAAACCTCACCAAGATCAGGATGATTATTATAGGCGGGGTCCACCTCCCCCAAGGCAGAAATATGCATCGGGTCACCCCCTGAAGTGGCTAAGGGTGTAGTCATATGGCAAAGCACCCCCTGTCCCTGTCAAGACTCTTGTAAATGGCAGAGCCCCGTTGGCCCTTGCAGCCATGGCTCTAGGCGTATACTCAGACTGGGGGCCAGGGTCACTGACACCTGAGCAAGGCTCCAGGTGGGTCCCCAGCCCTCAGACTGATTCACTCAACATCTTAGGGGCCTGAATTGAGATCCTGCCCCTTGTACCTAGGAGCCCCTAGTAACCCCCAGTGCAAACATTCTGCAAATCGGGGACCCCCCTTGTGTCTTTGTCCCCTTATTCAACCACATTATCACTCTCTGGCATCCTCCCAGCCTACCCAGCTGTCCCCCAGGCCACCCCACAGGACCCTCCATGGTCTTTCTGGTCAGGGGACCTCTGTGATCACTGAGGAGTAGGCTCCAGGCCGCATGGCAGGGCTTAGTGACAAGTGAGAGATGGCAGACCTCCCTCCTAGTGTTCACTTGGGACAATGACTCTGTGTTTGCAACATAAACCATGAAGGCCACTCAGCCAACACCTGCAGCTTTGGTCTCTGAGGTGTGGGACCCTGGGGGTCTAGGGTTATGTGAGGGGTGAGCAGCCAAGTTCAGCTGAGTTCTGGCTCCCTAGACAGGAGCTGGCCCAACCCACCACTGGAGCCCGCAGGGCCCTGAGGAGGGACAGGGCAGCCTCCACCCTTCTGCCTCCAGGGCCACCGGGTAAGCCATCACCTGTCCCCATTGGTATAGACCCCTGTGCCCTCACTTATTAGCTGCACCCTAGTCAATGGTGGCCCACATGGGCAGCACCCTGACCAAGCAGGAGGTTCAAACAATAGAAGCAGTGGGAAGGGTACCCCCCCACACAGAGATCCAGGGTGATGCCACCCTGTAATTTCGAAGCCAAACAGCTTTCTAATTTACATGAGAAGGGCGGCTGCTCAGAGCAGCATTGCCTTTTGTTCTAAACTTTGAGGCAGAATTCTGGAACATGTCTTTGGGGAAGAACGCTTCTTGCCCCCTTAGAAGGGCAGATCAGGGCAGGCCCTTCACTCAGGGTGAGAGTGGGCTTCATGGGTACATGAGGGTCTGGGGTTGGCTATCAGAGAGCCTGGGCCTACCACCTCCCTGTCCCTCCACTTGCTCCTCAAGAGTGGTGAGAGGGTGAGCAACCCAGCAGGAGCAGCGGTAGGGCACTTTGTCCCCACTTTCTCCCTACCAGGAGCCTCTGGTCCCCCACAGACCCGGACTTGAGGAGGGATTAAAATGAGGGGCAGGGTCTGTACCTGGCAGAGTTCCCACTGCGTCATGCCAGGAAGTGGGTCCTGGGCGCTCAGAGGGACACAAAGCTGTCCACCTTGTCTGTTCCCTGTGCTGGTAGAAACAGGCTCGGCTCTACCTGTTGCTATGTGAGTGGCCCCTGCCTTGCAGCAGCTCCACGGGTAGGGGGAGACGCCCAGAGGCCCAGAGAGTCTCCGGGTGGGTCGGAGGGTGGGTCACGGGCCAGCCCCCTCTCAGGGGACCCTCCCCTCCCAGGCCTCTTGCTGCATTCCTGCGGAGACATTCCTAGCGGATTACGGAATTCCACCCTGTGACAAAGAGCCCCGTCAGTTCCTGAACATGTGAAAAACATGTCAGCTGCAAATGCTGGACTCAATTAGTAACGGCGCTGGGGACGCACCCAGCACACAGAGGACTGCCATGGAAATGGGGGGGGTGCCTTCCCAAGCCACACACAGGACTGCTGTGGAAATGGGGGGGCACCTTCCCCAGAAACCTGCATCTCACATGTTGGGATGTGCAGACGCTCCGCTGCGACTGACCTTGCAAGGAATGGCTCCCTGCCGGCTGAGCCGACCACGCGGATCCCGACCCACACCGGCCACCTGAGCCCCCCTCAACTGAGAGAAAAATGGCTTTAATTAAGACTTCTGTGATTAGTCATTTAATCAATCATTAGACCAACACAGATGGCATCCTTTAATGTTTTATCCTTGAGTGGGGTGGCTGCTCCACACCCAGCGCCCTCCTGAGCTCAGCCTACTGATGGCTACGGTGTCACCCTCACTTGGCCTGGAAGAGGCTGCCTGCAAGAGCAGCTCTACTTGACCAGGATGGGTCCCTCGGGTGGAGGCATCTGCATCCTGGCTTCTCACAGGACACCAGGATGGACAGCCGTCCCTCCCTGTCGGGCTAGGTCATGAGGACAGCCCAGGGCACTGTCCATCTGGCAAGCCACCCTGAGGACCAGAGAGGCCCTGTGTGGAGCCAATCATCAAGGTGAAGAGGATGGTGTGATATAAGCTCCCCTCCTCTGAACACAGGCTCCTGGTGCGCAGGGGTCCACAGGGCACCCACCTAGTAAGGCTGGGGTCTGCAGGATGCCTGCCCAGTGAAGCAGGGTCTGCAGGGCACCCATTCAGTGATGCTGGCCAGGCTGAGGACCATGCCCATGGGATCCAGTTTGTGGAATGAGAGGCTGACAAGCAGATGGCCAGGCCCTGGCATGAGCCCACAGGCCTGCAGGCACCCAGCTGCAAGGCCGGGGGGACCCACGTCAGAGGCCCACAGAGCAGCGCCCAGCCAGGAAGGAACATCGACAGCTGCCCCACCCACTCACTCCAGGAAGCATGCTGAACAGAGGTGGGCCTCTGAGTTTGGCCTGATGGTCTGCCATGGACTCATGCATGTGGTCAGCAGAACTGCCCAGCCACCCAGAGGGCACGTGTCAGTGAGCTCCCCCATCTGCTCCTTCGGCTGGCTCCTCCCAACCCAGAGGGGCCCTCAGGCTAGACTGAAAACAAAGGCAACTGTGGTGAGGCCCCTTGGCCTCCTGCCCTGCCTCTGGCTTCCCTGAGCACCCGCCTCTGTGCACACACACAGAACCCCTCCGGCTTTTGCCCACCATGCCCCTCTGCTGGACAAGCCTCGTCAGGCCCACCACTCTCATTGCCTGGACTATGTGGGGGGCTCTCCTGTGCCAAGGATCTGTTGGCTGGGCAGTGCCCTATGAACTGTTGTGGCTTCAGCAGAGTGACTGCAGGGGCCTAAGGTCCAGCCATGGCCACACAGGATAAGAGCATTCAGAGGCCTGGCTGGGGGTGGAGGTGGTGACCATCTTCAGCAAGATTGGAACAGGACGTCCCAGAGATGGAAGCTCCCACGAGGACAAGTGCGTGCAGAGGTGCTGGGTGCTGTCTGCCCCCACCCCCACACCCGTCCCCTCCTCTCTACCTCCTCCCCTGCCAGTGAAACCTCCAGCCACATCTGTACAGCTGGAGGGAGCTGGGAGATGTAGTCACAGGGTGGCGGCTGAAACAGAGGTACCATGTCAGTACCTCTGGGGCCTGTGCCCCCCCAAGGGGTTGGCCCCCACAGGTCCTTCACCCACCAGCAGGAACCACGCAGGGTGGGCTCAGCCGCTTCCCTGGCCTGAGCTGCCACCACCCTTGTGCTGGAATTTCCTCTGGGTTGGGTGTTGGGGATGGGGTGAGCAAGAAAAAGGCATTGGTAGGTTTTTACCTCTTTAGAAAAGTTTTAGAGTTGAAAATGGAACTGCCTGGTAGGAGCAGGAAAATAAACCAAGCAGGTGTGAGAGCCGGGCAGACAGCTGGGCCCAGGCGTGTCCACCTGCCACCCAAATCAGGCACAGCAGGGCCACTTTCCTCCTGATAGAGTATGGGGATCATGACCACAGATGGGGCAGCAGAGCCTAGAGCAGCTGTTAACCCTTCACACACCACTGCGGGGCTGAAGACCCACCCGGGCACCCATGAGGACAAGACCACTGTGGCAGGCGCAGAGGCACCATCTACTGACCTGGAGGGTGAGGGAAGTCCTTGATGGTGTCTGTGTTAAGGCAGCCCCACAGCCCCCAGTGCCAGGCCCTCAGGGTGGCAGTGTCCATCCTGGCTGCTTTAGGACACCCATGCTCTAGCATCAGGGGATGGTCCTGAATCTGGAAATTTCTATAGGCTCCCTGTGGGGGCTGCAGAAGTCCCAGGGCCCACAAGCCCATAAAAGTCAGATCAGGAGAGCCAGGCTGGGAGAACTGTCAGCCTCTCGCACACACATCTCCCGTTCTCACACCACAGCTGTATTGAGTCTTGGAGACCCTGCAGCTCTCCCTGAGGCTCTTGCCAATACCTCTAGTTAGTTCTGGGGGCTTCTTGTGACCCACATTTGTCTGTAGGCTAATGCCCTGGACCCCCTAAAGAGCTGCCTAAACACCCCAGACCCTGCCTGGCAGCTTGCTCCTCCAGAGGCCCAGATGTCTGACCAGGTGAGGGAAGGGGCCCCTAGGCCCAGCTTCACCCTCACCAGCCTGTGGGGAAACCCACCCCATCGTGGGCTCAGAGAAGGGGGCTCCCAGACAGGTGCCACCATTCAGCACCCAAGGGCCAGCTGTGCCTCCCCAAGGCCATGCCCTGGGACCTTCCGGGGGCCCCTCTTGCTCAGCCACCTACGTGCTCTGTACTACTGTGGGCTCCTGAGACTCTGCCAGCCCTCAGTGCAGAGCTCTCCCTGATCTGAGCAGACAAGGGGCCTATCTTCTATGAGGGTATTGGCAGGTCAGCTTCACAGAATACCCCGATGGGCCCCTGGATCTGTGACCTCCAAACACAGTCACACCAGAGAATCTCCATACTGTCTTAGGAACTTAACAAATATGTTTTGTGTGGTTGATGATAAACGTGACTCGGCGGGGGGGGGGATTCTTGCAGATGAGTCTGTGGTGAGATACTGTATAGGTCAATACTGGGCTCTTCAATAATCTGCACCATCAGGATAGGCCCTGCTGGCTGCCCTCCATCCCTCCTCCTATTCTCAGCCTCCGCACCTGCTCAGGGCGCCCTTGGCCAAGGAGCATCCATCCCTTCCTGTGGCTGTGTGAGCAGTTCTGGCCAATAGGGTTCTAGGAGAGGTGGCACGAGCAGAGCTTCTTGGAAGGGGCTTGTGGGCCCAGGCACCCCTTCCCCAACGAGAGGGGTCATGATACCCTGGAGCTGCCCATTCTTAAGGCACACCCCGCCCACCGTGGGCTCACCAAACCGAAGCTGGAGGCCCAGCCAAGCCAAGCCTAGTGACTCATGTGTACAGATACGCCTGGAATTTCCCTAATTCACAAGTGACTCACGCTTGATTTGCTTCAAGCTAATAATGTGAGGAAGAGAAGGTCTACTGAAAAATAAATTCATCAAGAGCCCCCGTGAGCCTGTGAAGTCCAGGCAGTGATGGTTAGCCATGCTGACATGCCCCGTGACCCCAGGGTGAAGAACACACCCTCACAGAGCTGCCCATTTTGGGGCATGCAGGGATCAAGGGATCCCTCACAGGACACCTGGAGTGCCAGCAGCAGAACCTAGATGGTGGGAGGCTTGGCAAGACCATCATCAGGTTTCATCAAGACATGCACTGCAAGAAACAAGGAGAGGAGAGATCTGGGAGCCATGTTAGCCAATCACAGCACACGGAGCTCAGGTGGACGTGGAGGGAAGGATACCTTCAGAGCGGGTATGATGGTTAGTTGTGAGGTTCTGTTCAAGGCAGCAAACAAGCAGCTTCTTCATGAGTTAGACACACACTAGCCGATTTGGGCTTTGCTTCCAGGTAGGGTGGGGCCAAGGGAAGAAGTGAGTCGACTGAGCCTGGCCCAAGTCAATCCCATGGTAGGTCACTTCCCTCTTCTCTCTGCTTCTGGGTGGTATGTTTCAAAATTTCCCAAAATATAAAGTTAAAAAATTCAAAGTCACATAATGAGTTTGGTTTGAGGACCCTCTGCAAGTTCAACAGGGACTGAATGTTAAGGATGTGTTGATGTTGTTGTTAGCTATCCTCAAGTCGGCTCCAACTCACAGTGATCCTATGTACAACGGAACAAAACACTGCTCGGTCCTATGCCAGCATCACAATCTTTGCTATACCTGAGCCCATCATTGCAGCCAAGTGTATATTATAACATCCTGAATAGAGACTTTAAAAAAATCCAGTTGTCATAAGATCACTGACATCTCATTTGGGTCTGTAAATGTTGGGATGACTTCTGCTTCAGTCAAGATGAAGTAAGAGAGACTAGATTTACCCTCCTGCTGGAAACAACCAAAAAACTAGACAAGATATGAGACAACAGCGCTCATGAGAGTGGAATCAGGCAGCAAAAGACAGCAATCCCTGCGAAACAGAAAACAAGCAAGGCAAGCCCACAATCAGCCCAGCTCACTGCCTGGAGATTGCCAGACCTTGATGCAAGAAAGGGAGCTCACAGGTTTCCCTGAGTGGAGGAGACAGAGCTGGGAGTCTGGAGAAGCCAAGGTACTGGCATTTGCAGGTCAGAGCATTCGAGAGAGCTGCACAGAAAGCAAGACCCTCAAAGGGTCCACGGAGCACAGATCAGTGGGGACAAGTGAGGAAACCACACAAGGCCACGCCACAACCACCTGATAAGATTAGAGGGACGTGGTAGTTAAGTTTGTGTGTCACCTTGGCTGGGCCTGATTGTGGCTGGGCAGCTGGATGTTCCCCATGATGAGACTGGTAATCAACTCCATGGTGGAATCTACTGTGAACAGCTGAGTAGCTGCCTTAGGGATGTGATCTGCTTCCTGTAAACAAGGAGAAGTCTTGGGGATAGTCTCTAGCTTATGGCACGCTTGAACCCTGCATGTAGCTGTGTCATTGTTCAGCAGCTTGCCATGATCTGATGACCTTGGGACTTTCAATGGACTTGAATTAATGGCCTGTAGTGTGGTTTGGTAACATCGGAACTGTGCCTTTTTACTTGTGAACCTTGGGCTTGTCAATCTCAGCAGCCATTAGCTATCTGAGTGAAGAAAAGTCTCTAGCTTCAGTGGGCCAGGAGCAGGAGGCAGAGCTGAAGCCTAAGGTTGAGGGGCTTTCACCTAGGCCCCTAGAGCCTGGCACTTTGAACTTGGACTTAAAGCATCCAAACTGTAAGAGAATAAATGCCTGTTTGTTCAAGCCATCCCATTTGTGATTCATTCCTGTCAGAGCAGCACTAGGTAATCAGAACAGGAGAACATGGCCTGGGTGCACACAGGGCTGAGAACAGTGTCTGCTCCTACCAGCCAGACTGGGAAAAGTCAGACTTCATGGAGAACTGAGTAGAGTACACAGTAGTGGGGAAAATTAACCCTAGAATTAGCACTGTTCTGCACTCACCTAACAAAGCTTAAAATAAAGACTCAACTTAGTCACTTAAATGCATTCCAAAACAAAGCTCAGTGTTCATAGGAGCACAAATATACCCAGCACCCAACAAGGTGAACTTAACAATTTACTATATTCACAAAATCTAGTAAAAAAAAAAAAAAATTATGAGGCATGCAAAGAAGAGGAAAATACCACCCATAATGAGGAGAAAACTCAATCAAAACTGACCCAGAAATGGCACAGACGAAGGAATTGGCAGACAAGGACATTAAGATCATTATAATTGTATGCTGTATGTTCAGGGAGCCAGAGGAAATATTAAGCATGTGAAGCAGAGACTTGGAAAACATAAAAACACCCAAATCAAACTTCTAGAGATGGAAACTACAATATTGGAGATGAAAGTACACTAAAACCAAACCTAACCCACTGCCATCAAGTTAATTCTAACTCATAGAAACCCTATAGGACAGAATAAAACTACCCTGTTGGGTTTCCAAGGCTGTAAATCTTTATGGAAGCAGTCTCATCTTTCTCCCATGGAACAGCTGGTGGGTTTGAACTGCCAACCTTTTGGTTAGCAGCCAAATGCTTTAAACATTGTGCCACCAGAAGTCCTTGAAAGTAACTAAATGGAATTGATGTCAGACTAGACATTACAGAAGAAAAGATTATAGAAATATAATCAAATATGAAACACTGAGAGAAAAATAAGACTGGGAATATTTGAGCATAAAGAACTGTGGTACAACTTCAAATGGACAAATATACATGCAATTGGGGTCTTCAAAAAGAAGGAAGAGACAGTAGTCAAAACTGCCTAGTATTGGTTTAATACAGATACATAGACCAATGGAATAGAATTGAGAACCCAGAAATAGATCCATCGACCTGTGGTCAGCTGAGTTTTGACAAAGGGCCAAAATCCATTAAATGGGGAAGAGAATGTTTGTTTAACAAATGGTGCTGGCAAAACTGGAGATCCATTTGCAGAAAAATGAAACAAGATTTGTACCTCACACCATTCACAAAAATGAACTGCAGATGGATCAAAGACTTAAATGTGAAACCCAAAACTATAGAGTTCCTCAAGGAAAAATTAGGGGCAAATTTAAGGGCCCTAATAATTCGGCACATAACAACAACAATAATTGTAAGATAATAAATAGACTATCAAGCATAACTCAAAAAGGCACAAACAGTAGAAGAGAAACCAGATGATTGGGACCTTCTAAAGAATAAATTTTTGTGTGCTTCCAAAGACTTCTCCAAAAGAGTCATAAGAGAACCTACATATTGGGAAAAAATATTTGGTAATGACATATCTGACAAGGGACTATTTCTAGAATTTATAGAAAACTCCAACACCTCAATAACAAAAAGACAAACAATCCAATTAAAAAATGGGCAGAAGACATGAATAGACACTTCACCAAGGAGG